AGAAAACTGTCCAAACTACAAAAGTAGAGCCAGAGCTTGGCATTACATGGCAATGCCTTAATTTTAGGGCCTCTGAAATAGTTGGCAGAGTAGCAGGTTGCCAGAATGGTTATATTCCCTGTCAGATGTATGTTCTGTTTTAATTATGTATCTGCTCTGCTGATGATCAAGTTATCCGAAACATGCTTATAGATAATTTTTTATTTGGAGACCACAAAATTGCCTTTCAGACGGAGGTAATTGTAATCACTTTAGAGAGGAAGAAACTGAAGCGTCATGAGGAAATTATGACTTGCTGAAGATGACTTTCCAGAATATTCATAGCTCTGTTAAATATTGCCTTCGTGATTGCGCCTAAATGCTGCTTCTGCAGTTTTTACACCGTTGTGAGGCCAGCAGAGGGAGCGTCTGTATAACTCAGGGAAACGTTCTGCCAGCACTGAAACTGTGTGCCTGACATCAGGGCTGAGCAGGGAGGGAGTAGAGCCTCGCAGATGTTTTCCACGTTAATTTCATGCCATTATAGCCCAGACTCGGGGGGTTGCTGTAATAACTGTTAGAGGGAAATAAACCCTATCAAGTCTGAAAATTAAAATCTTACCTCAGAGATTTCAGATAACGCTTGAAAGTGAGCAAACTGGGAAGGGGAAAATGTTAAAAATGCAAAGCTGCTTGATGTTGTCCATTGAAATACTTGTGGCAATATCTGTGTGTCTATTATAGAAGAGTAGATGTTGTGAACATTCCATAAGGAATCAAATATAATGAGTGGTTACACTTTACTAATAACCTTACTTTGATTATTCTGATGGCTGTAAATCCAGGAAACAAAGGTGCTGTAACACACAATCTCCTTGTACAATTAAACGAAGATTAAATGCAAGTAAAGGATTGTAATAACTAATTTTTAGAAAGACAAATCTGCTTTATTTTTAATAGGAAATGATGTTAACATTCACAAATGTTTTGTTTCAGAGTATCATATATTATAGTTTCCTTTTTATGTAAAATCCCCTTTGTTTTTATTGTGTTAACCTCTGTTTTTTTAAGTCCAGAAATAATTCTAGGGAAGGAAAACAGCACTCCTGTAATTGCTTTGGTATCTAACTAAAACTTGAGAGCTGATCACTGCAGAGGGTGAAATCACTGTTTGCATTTCTCCCATGAATTACACACTTCTACTTTTAACTAGTACTGTTCTTTCTTCTGATCCCTCTCTTGCTTATTGAGGGGTGCATAACACATGGTGCAGCTGTTCTAGTGACTAGCAAATGAATGTGAGGTTTCCTGTTCGTTTCTTTGTTCCTTGATGAAACAAGATTAATGTTTCTGGCCTATATGTAACATACATGGTGTGAAAAACCATGCAGTTAAACTTTTAACATTGTAAACCAATCACGTTCCACAGGCTGAAAAAGCTTTCAGCACAGTAACTTAACAGTCTTATGTATACCAAGACTGTGTTGTAAAAAAGAACGTCTATCTGTTATTGGATTTAATGGCTTTTAGCAGTGCCTTACATTTGAGGTCTCTGAGGTTTTTGTTTGGGTTTTTTTAGGTGGTTTTGGTGTAGCAAAGAACCTGTGTTCCTGGGCTGTAGATGGCAAGAACTGTACTGTCAACGAGCATGTGAACTCCACACTCCAAGCCTTCCACAGTGCTAAAAAGCCTATTGGTTTGTGCTGTATATCACCAGTTCTGGCAGCTAAAGTCTTTCCTGGTTGTGAGGTTACAGTCGGTCAAGATAAAAATGTAGATGGAAGGTAAGAAGGAAGTGGATGGGTATGATTTACATGGGAATTAGGGTTGGGAAATAACCAGTCTTCTGTGCAAAATTCTCTTTGGTACTGGTAAACCTCTGGCAACTTAGTTACTTTTAAGGAAAATTAGTGCCGTTTTTCACTTGCTTCAAATTTTCACTTGCATAATAGTAGTAGGCACAGAGCTCTCAGGGCAGACAGACTGAATCCATGAGGTCAGGTGCTACAACCAGAAAGACATTGGTCTATGATATCATAGAACAATTTACGTTGGAGAAGACCACTAAGAGGTCCAACCATTAATCCAACACTGCCAAGTTCACCTCTCAGCCATGTCCCTAAGTGCCACATCTACATGTCTTTAAAATGTCATGTTCTATGATCTCAGCATTGACAGACACAACAGTGAGAACTCTAGGCATCCTTATCTCTTGCTTCAGCTGCCACTGTATTTTATTCTGCAGTGTGAGGCTAATGAGTCACTGGATCTAGCATCTGTCAGTCCTAAAACTGACAGAACAAGTGAATTTTGTAGGATCATAGCTGTGCAAACATGCAAGTGACCAGGGATATCAAGTTGTTTTTTCACGTTCCATTCATGGTAATTAAGTGATAGATTTTTAGCTCATGCTAAGCAAGAAATGCAATTTGCTTACCCAGTGCCTTTGAAGGCCATGAATCATCTTGCAAATGTGCAAATGAAGAAAAGGCGTTTGGCCAGCTGACAGTCAGCAACTTGGTACCCTGTGGTAATGTGAGTGGCTGTTTCAATTGTGTCTGTGCTGGTGGTGGTGGTTTGGGGCCAGTTTAGGGGAGGCAGATGAGAACAGGGCCTGGCAGAAGTCAGTGCTGCTTCAAGAACTGTCAGCTCCTGATAAAACTTCTGAATGAAATTTATCAGCAGCAGTAGTGAGGGATTTAGTCTGTTCCTCCCTTATCCTCAGAAAACAAAATTCATAATCTCTGCAGAATCCCAGAGGAAAACCTTACGTGGAGGTGTTGGAAAAAGTCTAACATGTCTGCAGGTTCAGCTAGCTTCTCTCAAACCTTTGAGGATCAGTTATGGGTGCGCTTGGTATAATCTTCCAAATTTACTGAAAGATTGTTCAAAACAACTGTAGCTTCTGACATACTATGGCTCCACATTTCAGACCTTGTTTTTAAAGGTGTGTCTGTAGGGGATGGGAGAACCTGACAGTGGCAGCCTGTTTGACTCCCTTGTCATCATCTATTAGAGAGTCACTTAAATATTATTGTAGTTCTCTCATTCAAGGTATGCTGGCAGAACTTTATGGCTGTATCATCTCTTTATGTTAATTAAAGTTGTTTTATTTACAGATTTCCTGATGCTGAAACAGCATCTGCAATAGCAGAGCTTGGATGTAAGCACATTTGCAAAAATGTGAATGAATCCCATGTGGATACAGCCAATAAAATAGTTACTACCTGTGCTTTCATGTGCAAGGCTCCTCTGCATGAAATCTTTGATGGAATTGGAACAATGGTACAAGAAGTCTTGAAACTTGCCTGACGGGAAGGACACAGACTTCTGCAAGGAAATCAGTGTAGCTAAGCATAAGCATTTAGCTTCCTTTGATTGTATCAATAAAATAATGCAACTGCTAAACTTCATAGTTCTGGGTTCGTTTGTTTGTTTGTTTTTTCTTTAAAATCTTTAGCACATCAAATGGTTATTGCTAAGTTTATGCTATTTATTTCTTTTTTTAACACAGAAACCATGTGTTGAAGGTGATGGGAGATACCCCTTTTTTTCCTCATGAACCTGAATGTATTCAGTCTTGAAAAGATAATGAGATGGCATTTTATCACATCACTAATGATCCTCAGTAATTCACATTTTCTATTACCCAGCTTTAATTACAGGTGAAATAGCTGTAAATGAGTCTGTTTACCTTCAGTATAGCTGGGTAATTAAATTCTGCTTTATAATCAGAAGGGAAAAAGTGGTTATTTGGGGATTTTTTTCTTCCCTTGCAAGTCTTTCAGCAAGTATAACTAATGGACTTCTGAAATTTTTGCAGAGTCCCTAGGTAAACAACTTTATAAACCAAGATCCAGTACAAATGAATGCATTGCGTGTGGAAAATACACAAGTTTTGCTCTAATAAATTAAGTCATTTGAGATTTAGTGAAATGAAGTAGCTTTATTTTGTGATTTTTGAAAATTTTTTTTGCATACATAGTTTAGTGCCCTAAGGAAGATACATAAAATGTATTTCAGAACACATGCTTTGATCTTAGAAATGTGAACTGAGGTCATCAGCTTCTCTTAGAAGCAGAGTCTGTTAAGGCTGTGTACTCCTGAAGGAACAAAAAATTCCCAGAATTCATTAAAAAGATAAGTTGATTGTCACTGTGGACACTTAATTGTTTCACACAGGAAGCATTCTGAAGCTCACAGGTCTGTTACACCAAGTGTAACACAGCCCGTGCTTTGCCATGCCTGAAGTAATCTAAACAGTCAGCACATGCTCATTGTGTTATGTTGACCAAGTGCCTTGTAGCTGGAGCAGGAACACAGCAGGAACAGGCCTGTACCACAGAGCAGCCAGGAGGTGGAACTGGCAAGTAATGCTTTTGTGAGGAGTGTTGAGTTGTCCCTCTTACTCGGCAGCTGGCACGGTCAGGATGGGCACTAGCCTTTACCACCTCAGAGCAAGACCAATCGTTACACCAAGGCCTAACATGTTGCAGAGTATCAAGTGCTACTACTCTGTCTGTGTGCTGTGTTTAATTTAGCACACGCGTCAGAGCTCAGAAGTAACACGTGGCCTCTTCAAGGAGGCTGTAATCTACAGAAATAAATATATAAAGGCTTTTATTCTCTATCCTTCTCACAGTGATGTTTTTCATGGACACAGCATTTCCATACTCCTCCAGAATTTGGATTTCCTGTGTGGAGTTATTTAGGAGAAACAGAACATAGATTTTTGGCAGAAGAGCAGGGAAATTTTTGTGTCATGCACAAGCAATGCTCTGCCCCTAGAGGTACAAAGATAGCTGAAGTTGGCTGTGCCAGCAGAGGATCTTCTGTTCAGCCTGACTGAGCTGTGCACATAATCTCTAAATTATTTACTTAGTCAAAACCCACAATATTTGCCTCAGCATGGTTGTTGTGTTACAGGAGTCTTATTTAAAAGTGCTTGAGTCACTAAATGAGAGTTTGTCCTGAATTTTGTGTTTGCTTTCTGAACAGCATCTAGCTGTCCTCTGGAACATTCAGAGGAAGCGCAGCTTCTCCAGAAGTGCTCCAGCAGACTGTCCTGAGAGAAATGTACTTAATACAGAACAGTCCTCTACTTTTTCTAGGTTGTACACAGTCTCTATAATGCCTTCTGTGGCTTCTGCAGGCAGGATGCTCAAGGCATTGGATTGAAACTTTTTCTCCAAATCCCCCTTTTGCAGAGGTTTCCTCCAGTGTCCGTAGAACGTATCACAGCGGTCGCTGATCGTGTTGCCGTCCCGAAGTGTGACGCTCACTTCGCAGTAAAGACTGTCAAAGCTGGGTGTGTTATCAGGAGGGTGCTCCAGCTGTGTTTTGCAGAGGAGCTCCCGCAGGGCCGGCCGGTGAACGTTCTCACTGGTGAAGGACTGGACCGACATGCTGCCATCCAGCAGCGCAGAGCATGCAACAAACTGGAAGGAGTGTCGCGCTTCATGCTCTGAGGCTGGACTGGGTCTGTTCACATATTTGACCTCGGGGACTTTGAGAATGACTTTCTCAATTTTATCAAGGGGGAGCAGGTTTTCACTGCTCTCCACAAGCTTCCTCCTAACAGAGGATGCTGCATCAGCCACCCAGTGCGTTCCAAGATGAGCAGGAAAGCGCTTGATGGCCACATCTTGTTGATCCAACAGCCAGGGGTAGGACTGCAAGGTTGGAAGAGTCTGAGGGTTATAATCTGTATAAAAGGCACCTATCCCTGACTCCATGTCCAAGATCCGTTTGTTTCCTTGAAGGCCCTGTGATGCTAAGCAAGCTGCTTCCAGTCCATGCTTGGCAGCATTGCCAACGTGGAGGGGCTTTGTTTGGGTTGCTGCATTAGCCAGTGGGGCACCTGCATAGGAGGCAGCAATAGCCAAGGCATTTTTACATCCCAGCTGGTCAAGAGCTAGCAGTTTAGCACAAGCTGCTGCACTTCCCATTGTACCAACCACAGTTGGTGGGTGAAACCTGAGAAAACAAAAATATCATTACCATATTTCAAAAATTCACCTGAATTAAGTATATACACAAGCTTTCCAATTGGACCATAAAGAAACATACATGCAGAATTCATGTGTGGACCTAATGAAAAGAGTTGTCACTTTTCCCCAGGAAGAAGTTAAACTGGGACAGTACTACTTGCAATAGGTCCTCCCCAGAAAGCAATAGAAATGTTAGAGCTGTTCAAAGCAAATTTATCATCACAGAGAAAGTTATTATTGTTTATATATTATTATA